CATCCTGGTCAATTTGCATATTGTCCTTTATCAGTCATGACCTCCTAATTATTCTCATATTCACCGGTGGTGGTAAAGGACCCATGTGAAAAATGCTGTATCATTGTAGCAAGTGTAAAGTGCTGTAAAACAGGGTTCCAAAGTTGGCCATTATTGGCCAAATTACATGCTTCGACAGGGATTTAGGTGTGACGGTAAAACAGTACAAAGTATGGGTTTAGTGGAAAAATAAAAAGTGCATTAATGATTGTGGATCATGTGCTTGTGGAAAAGGTCATAAGTAACTGAGTTAAAGGTTTCTCATCTGTATATCAAACATTTAGCTTATCTACAAGATTTTTTTCTGTAAATGTTTTGTATAGTGTCAAACAATCAAGCATGCATTTTTATATCAAATATTTATATTCAATACAAGATTATTTGTATAGTGTTTTGTAACATTTCATATGATAATTTGTTCAAATATTAATAGGGTATAATGTGTTTAATTGACATGGGGTTTTTTTCTGCCTGCTGGTTTCCCATTATGCTATTGCTCAGGGTTAGTGCTGATCTGAACTGAGATGGAGATCTGTTTCTTTGCATTGCATCATGTCCCCTCAACATCTGTGACCAGTAGGATCTCCAAGCTGGAAGACTGAGTGTTTGTGTGTGTGCTTGACCCTGTGTAAATTTTATTAGGCTTGAAGTGTTCCCATCCCATGGGGATGCACCTGGAAGGAGTAATCGTCATGATTCAAAATGTCTCCTGAATGCACAAACACATACATACATCAACAGGTGGTTACTGTGCAATAAGCCAGAACATTGTTTCAGCTCTTGACATCTGAATGTGTGAAAGAAGCCTTTCTCCTTCTATGGGTGTGTATCCACACCCGCAGCGGGGTGTGTATAGATCCAGTGGGAGAGATTAGCTTGAGAGATTCTGGCTGTAATTCAGTGCTGAGTGAATCATAAAAAGAACATGCACACACACACACAACACATGGAGTACATGTACTCTCCCACATTCTGCGACACTCCACCCCCTGCGGACAAAGTGAATGGAGTGGCATTCAGTGCTAGGTTGACAGGTCTGTATTAGCCCAGTTCCCATCATGCAGAGTTGGCCTAGTGTTTTAGGACAAGACCATCATTAGTATCAGGCCTGGGCATACTGAGTGGAACTAATGATGAGAAGTGAGGTCTAAAATGGCACTTTCATGTCCTGACTGGTCTTTTATTAGGGTCAGTGCTACTTTCATTTCGGAGATCCGGAGAGATTTTTTTTTTAATTCTGTCAAGATGTGCAGTTATACAGTTTAGAGTTTGTTTAAAACTAACCTGTTACTGACAGAGAAATTGGAATCAAGCTTGTTGAGCCGCTAAAGAAAGGTCAGGGCATTGACTTTAAACATCCTGCTCTTAGTTTTTGTCGTTCTCTTCTCACAGTCTCCCACCCCCTTTCCCTTTTTCTTTCATGGTTTCACTCACTTGATTCCTGTTTTGTTGCTCTGAGAGATGAGGTAACAGTCCCTAGAGCACTGTCCATTCTCATTCAATTCTCATTCAAATATGTCTTGCAAATAAGCCTGAACGACCCAAAAAGTATCCTCTTAACAGAAAATAAGCAGATACTTGGATTTAGAGTTGTATTCCTAGTAATGATGACATTACAGCATTGTTGTTACTCTGATACCAATTTATTTGTTGTGTACAGGTCACAAACTAACACAACTGTGTTATGACAGCTCATTATTTCTGAGAGTTGGCTGCCTAAGAATGGTCAGATCATCATCTGTTAGTCTGTTTTCCTTGTTTTATTGTTTCAAGAATGCAACTGACCCACACAGACTCAATTAAGGACATTACTGTCAAGTTTCATTTTGATAAAAACTTTGCTTAAGACCAAACTGCTATGAAAACTGTTAGTATATTCTACTTCCTTTCTCAATTTATTGACATAAGTATAAAAATATTTACTACTCATTGCATACAAGTCACATGCCCATTCCTGATATATCCATTACATTCTAATGTAAACATTTAAAGGGACAGTTCATCCAAAAATGAAAATTCTATTATTTACTGACCCTAATGTCACCTTAATGTTGTTCCAAACCTACTGAAGCTTGTTTCTGCCATAGGATAAAAAAAAAAAAAGTTAGTTGCAACTTTTCTCACAACCCGCAATTCTAAGTTAAATACTCAGAATTGTAAGATATGAACTTGCAATTGCAAACACAAAGTCAGAATTCTGATATAAAAAGTCAAACATCTCTGTTTTTGCTGAGATCTTGCATTTCTGACTTTTTTCTGAGATCTAAAGATTACAATTACATTTGTTATTGTCAGAAACAGGCTTCTGTAAGATTTTCTTTTTTTCAGTGAAATACAGAAAAAGATATTGACTAAAAATATAAACTATTTCAACTATATTTGTCCAAACTTTTTTTTTTCACAGAAATAATGCAAATAGTACTTTTCTGTAAGTATGAATGATGACTCATGAATGATTCCTGTAAGACTTGTGGTAAACCAGATTTTGGCTGGTCCTGTAAGCTGGTTGGAGGCACCGTTTATTTATTTATATGGACTGCTGGTCACTCTGACTAATGTCAGTTCTTAATCACCAGTCAAGTCTCCGAGCCTGGGAATGCAACCCCTGTGTTTACACAAGATATCCCTCTCCCTTGCCACAACTCATCAGACTGTTCACGCCATGCACTAAAGGGCAGAACTGCCCAGCAGCAACACTCTGAACTGGCTCGATTCCTAGAAGCATTAACAGTTTGGTGACTCTTGGATGTTTGGATTTCATTTGAATTTGAAGAGGAGGATATGACGGCTTGCTGAGTCAAGCACATGTGTCTATGCAAGAGAGAGAGAGGAATAAAAGAAAAAGAAAAGTAGGATTTGGGTTCAGCATTGTTAGCCAGTCCATTAGGGGTACCAGAAATATCTTGAGAGAGACACTGTCTTTCTCTTAAGTATCTCCGGTACCCCAAAAGAGTGCTTAAGTTGCATGTCTAGATTATTTTGGTTATCTGCTCTTTCTGCTGAATGCATTTGGTCTCTCAGTCTATCAATGTTTCATACACCAAACCACATTTGATGGACCATCATAAGTCATCTATCTAGCTGTGCATTTGTATGTCTTCCAAATAAACAAAATGTTTCAGAGATTTATGTGAGATTACACAGTACTCCCTACTGCAGTAGAGTCATTTCGAAACCGCATTATATTTATGAATTTAGGTGCGCACAGCTGTGACAGACGACTCACCACGATAAAATATAATATTCAAGTAATAAAAGCATAAGAAAAATGTTGAGTGAGACCAGCAGTTTACCTTTAGGTAGAAAACCTAAAATGGTAGATGAAGTTGGTATGGTCCACCGAGTGAAAGCGCATTGTGCACATGACTCAGGGCTCTCATTTCTCATTTGTTCAGTTGTGGAGTAGACCGAACAGTTACTGTTTCCTAGGAGACGATGGCAGACGCTGAGCTTACGCCTGTACAAATAAGAAGATAGTACAGCATGACACAGAAGCATAAGAACCTTTCTCTCAGGTTCTTCCTCATTATAGATGAAACACTTTTTGTATTTACATAAGTTCTTCATGGCATGGATTCTGTTATTTCTGCACAAACAGGGTGCAGTTGGTGAATGAATACCAGGTGAACAAAGCAACATTCTAACTTTGGATCTCAATCAGGACACAATAACAGAGTGAATGAATCAAAAGAATGTCATTACCAGTCAAAAGACGATAGAAAAGACTGTACCACCCGAAGTTGGAAAAAATCCTTTTGATAACCAACTCCTGACTAAGAGCACAACTGCTCATTAGAAGTATTAAACTGCATTTGATGCCAGTCTGCTGTAACATTACTAGAGATTTCATGGATGCCTGCGCTTAGCTCTGGCCCTTGCTGCTGATCTACCTCTAATCCCCTGTAATTTCCTTTGAGTGCTACACTGTGAATTATTCTCCTGAATTTGAATGACTATCTAACTTCGGGAGTCCCAGAAAACCAGAAACCTCAAATATCGTCTGGTTGGCTGCACTATTTTTAAACTATTAAATCCTTTTTAGATAAAAGCAACAACAGCAAACAAACAAGGATTTACATATGTTGGTATAATTACATTTAAGGTAGGCTACTTCAAAAAACATTTGTTTTCAAGATAACAATGGTGACCAATTGTAAAATTTTTGAGTTAAAGGGTATACATCTATATATCTATATCTATATATCTATAGATATATATATAGATAGATAGATATGTATGTATGTGTATATATATATATATATATATATATATATATATATAATCTATAGATAGATAGATATGTATATATGTGTGTGTGTCTAACTTTGGGAGTCCCAGAAAACCAGAAACCTCAAATATCGTCTGGTTGGCTGCACTATTTTTAAACTATTAAATCCTTTTTAGATAAAAGCAACAACAGCAAACAAACAAGGATTTACATATGTTGGAATAATTACATTTAAGGTAGGCTACTTAAAAAAAACACTTGTTTTCAAGATAACAATGGTGACCAATTGTAAAATTTCTGAGTAAAAGGGTATACATCTATATATCTATATCTATATATCTATAGATATATATATAGATATGTATGTATGTGTATATATATATATATATATATATATATAATCTATAGATAGATAGATATGTATATATGTGTGTGTGTGTGTGTGTGTGTAAAGATTGTTCTGTCTCATTTAAACTGTAAATGTAAACATTTCATGTCATCTAGCCTACATTTAATTAACTGCGAACCAAAAAACATGATTAACCAAAAAACTGATTAATTACAGTATGTTACAGTAAATTACAGTAAAAGTAAATATGTGACTGAATAAAATATTGTTTCTCTGACAGACCTCAGGATAAAAAGAGTAGGCCTACCTCTCGTTTGATGTGTGAGTGTGTTAGAGGTGTGGCTCCAGTGAATGGGTGGAGGAGGGTCGAGTATCAGTCTCAGCGGTAGATCCATGAGCGAAGAAATCAGCGGCTGATTTTTATACAGTTAACCGGGACTGAGAGGAACCATGCTGGAATACAAATCTAAACGCTCATTTACGACTCGCATCAGCTGGCAGTCTCTTCGGAGAGCGGTGTAATGGCTTTAAGCGCTTTTGTGGTAAATTGGGTATATAAATCATTATTTAAAGGGGCGGTGGGTTGACCAAGAGGTGCGATCGAGGATTCAGTATTGTTCGTAGAAGATGTAGGACTGGCCACGTTTATCTGTTGAATGCTGTGTGCGTAAAGTCACCTGTTGCAAAACATCACTTTTTAATGTAAGTAAATTATTCATTTTCGTTTAACATAAGTGCTTTGGTACTAAAAGTGTACTAGGATCCAGACTGTATATATTGTGTTTGTAGTGGTAGTAGAGGGTGGGTGAGTGAGTTGGGGGTGGGTAGGTGGGTGGAAATGTATGGGCTCAAATAAACAAGGTGGTGCTGAATTGTGCGTATGTGCTCTCACCATCGACTGTAAAAAACAGGCTCTCACACATTCACCGCAAAGTAAAGCTCGACATCTACAAGTATGTGTGAGGGAAGAATAAACGTTGGAAGTAGGGCGAACTGTGCAAAAATAGAGCACAGATAAAAGCTGTGAACTCTTAGACTTTTATTTTTTGTGTGGCGCTACCAGCCTCTTAACTGTAAATGAAACGTATCATAATTTTATTGCGTTCATTTGAGATTTTTGGCATAGGCCTTGCTTTTAATTTGAACTGCAGAGGTAGATCATCAGTAAAACGAGGACAGTGACAGTTCACAGCAAAAGTAACCGCTATATGTAAAGTAAAGCAATTCTCTGGATAACACATAATGTTTTGTCAAATTAGGTTTGTGTCACTTTATCTAACATATTTAGTTAAAGTGTAATAGTGCTTAAAACAGACCCTCATGAATAATGAAATGGAATTATCATTTTTGATACTGAAGCTTGATCACATCCACTATGATGATGTCAGGCAAATAAAAGCATCTACAGAATGAATTTTTTTTTATATTTGATTGGCTACTGATATTTGAAGAGCATTTGATCATGAAATGTATTTATCCCACTTTTGCGGAACTCATTCTGTAAAATGTTTGCTTTTTGTCAGACACAAAGATACTTTCATCAGGAGTAGTGCATTCATTAACATTACTGATTGATATTAATCATTTTAATTATGAGTGGAATCTGAAAACCCGATAGTATCCTCCTTAATTGTGTCGGCTGGACTTTTAGTTTTTGCTTCAGACCATGTGACTTTGGAGTGTAGTATAAGGGAGGCTTGATAATGATTAACACTTGAGATAACAATTTTATTGAAAATAGTGATCAAAAAAGTTTTTTATACAAAATATGATTTTAGTTACTGATTTATAACAAAGTAATCAAAACTGAGGAAAGCTTTGTAATATTTCCAATCAAAGACTGAAGACTTAATGTTTCTAAAAAAAAACAGGTAAGAACTGTAGTTAGTCTCTGGTTGGGTGAGTGAAGAGAACACATGAAAGCAGTCCTTTATTGTTTACTTAAACTCTGCTCTGTTTAGAACTGCATCAGCCTTTTGGATCAAAGACAATGAATACCTTGTATGTCCTATCACAGAACCGCTTGATGTTTATATTATTTAGTAAAGATAGTGTGAGTTCGGGTTCTTCTGTTTTGAGTCAGTTGGGAGTCAACAAATGATAACCTCTCTCCATTTGGCTTATTACTTTGTCAGAGGAAGACTGTTCTCACCATGTCACACCTCAGGACAGGAAAAGATCCTTTGCTTTTAACAGTCTGAGAACATAAGCACCAGGCTGTTGCTGCTTGTGCCACTGTGCAATTTCTGTTGTTTGTACTTGTAGATGACCTTCAGGAGTTTCAGTAGAAATTATTGATATAGATGCCTTTATTGAACTTTTTGCCCTAGGGACTTACCATGCAAATGGAAGTAGTAAAAGAAACCAGACCAATGTTGTACTGCCCTTTTCCAGTTAGTATAATAAAAGTGTTTTAGGGGAAAGATGCTAGACAGCTTGTAAATTTTATTGCATATATCAGAGATCTTTTTGAAGTGAAAGATAACAAGTTTGACCTCTGTATCTATTGCTTCTCTAGTCTAGATGGCCTAGTAGTTTACGATGTAATGCATCACATTTGTGGTGACAATGAGAAGACATTCACTTATGGTGCTTGATTAAGGGTCTGCTGAGAAAGACTTAGTTTAGATTTGTTCACACTGCATAATGTTTAATTCTGTTAAAAATAGTTACATCACAATTTGAATTAATTGTAATCTAGTGTAGGCCTACAAAATCCTCAGGTTGAGAGGTCATATTATTAATCACCCTTTCATGTCATCATCTTTTGATATTATGCACTAAATCAGGTGATTTCAACATAAATGGAGAATTAATTGGCATATTAATAACATTAGTAGTTGGCAAAAATTATATATTATGTAGGGGAAGTTTTTATTGAGCCATATTTTTGTTTATGTGTACGTAATGGTACGTGTGATTTGGCGACTGTAGCTGTATTTCATGTAAGTGTGAGCAACATGTTTTATTTTTACCTCAGTCTTTAATCATTTAGAAGTGCCTGACTTCCAGTTCTGACTCTTGAGTCTTAACAGGAGCACAGGACAGTTCTGTCTGCAGGCTGCATGTGTGTTTGTGTACAACTTGTACTTGTAGTTGAAACATCTATACGTCATTTTGTCTATATTGTAGATGAATACATCTATATTTGTATATTTTTTTCATGGCTTAACTTTGACTATTTAATTATCTAAATTGTTAAATTGTTATTTTATGGTTTGCTTAAGACAAAATAGTCACCTGATCTATCTAACAGTTTATTTTATGTCAGTCTATTTGGAATTGGATTTGAATGCTGATCTAATTTTCTCCAAAAAGGAAAGCAAAATAAATAAATAATACAAATATTACAAATAAATAGAAATTGAGAACATGAGCGTAATCAGTATGACATTTTGTCATTTTATTTGTGTGTTGTGTTTGAGGCTACAGAGACTACACAGCCTTCCTGTTTTCAGGACATACCACCCTTAAAAGCTGATCAGGCCAAAAGGGAGGAGTTGTTGCATTTCCAAATTCTGTTTGGATAATGTCATGCAGAGGAGGACATGAGATTCAGCCTCTTTCCCAGAAAAACACTGAAGCATGTGTTGTGGATGTAGAGATCAGTCTCTTTTGAACTGAGAAACACCCATTTATTTTCTTTAATTCAGACTTCAGATGTCTTTTGTATCAGCTGTGAGTGTCTGTAACTCAAGGTTTTTGTGACATTAAATTATAATCGTATTATTCCTTCCTATCATTCAGTGTGTTCGTTTCTGTCTGATCATGTGACTAATATGTTTCTCCCTCTGCAGATTCCAGGCTGTCTAATTGGAGTTTGCTACGCAGATAGTCCCTAAAAGGAGGAATGTGTGTGTTTGCCCACAAGGATCTGATATCTCTTCAACTTTGACTTCTTTGAGGACATAATTCAAATATGGCAAGGTCTCAGTGACCTTAAGAATCCCAGTAAGAATCAACGACGGGATGTAAACATAACATTTGAATATCAAAGATACCTGGAATATAACCATCTTCAACTGCAAAGCAGAAACCATGGCAACCAAATGTAAAGACCAATGGAAAGTATCCATGGAAACCACAAACTCTGCCTGGCTCTTGTTTTGGACCATATGGATTTTTTTGGCCGGAGTCTTACAAGCAACTGTGGCGAGTGAAGATGAGGTCACAGCACGCATCAGTTTCACATACAGTGAGTGCAAGAATCAATTATTCATTATTTGACAGATGCTTTCTTATTTAAAGCTATTCACAATTTACTTACTAATATAATAGTCCCACCTAGAGCTAGTGGGGGTTAAGTTCATTCACACTGGTGCTATGGTAGCATGATACAATGATGGTATCAGGTGGTTATTCCATGTTATTTTCACAGAGGCTGCATTTATTTGATCAGAAATACAGTAAAAAAAAAAATATATATATATTGTTCAATATTACAATTCAATTCATTTTGTTATATATTTAAAATCTAATTTATTCCTGTGATGGTAAAGCTGAATTTTCAGCAGCCGTTACTTCAGTCCTCAGTGTCACATGATCCTTCAGAAATCATTCGAATATGCTGATTTGGTTGGAAATGTTTCTTTTATTACCAGTTTTGTTGGAATATATTATCATGGTAGAGCCAGAAATGTTTAAAATAAATAAATATAAAAACACATTATGTGCCATTATGATCGCTAAAGCAGTAATGAGCACTGTATTCTGTAGAAGAAGCTCTTCTGGCCCAGACTCCCACTCATCTGAAATAATTTAGCTCAATTTTAGGGCTAATTGAACTGCCATGATGTTTCTTATTCCCGAAAGACCCATTACGAGACTGTTCCAAATGTTGCGTTCACTCATCTTAGCCAAACACACAGGAGAGTTTAATCCTTGATTGTAAACATTTACAAGAGCTATTAAAACCATTTGCAAACTCTGGCTGGTGTACTGTATCAGAGTAACAGCCATACTCCTTAATCATTTGAGGTTGAAAATGCAAATGTAATGGTTGTACTTAGAACAAAATGGCTTGTAAAGGGTTTTATATGAGTAAACACTGATGTTAGTGACCTCTGTGCCCTGCTAGGAAAACCTTCTGGACATGCAAACCAACGTCATTTTAAAGGGTTGGTTTGTGTGCCAGGTTTTTGTAGTTTTGAAGGTGCGTTCCATGTGAGGAATGCAGGATGAATTTTGAATGCACTGTAAGAATTTGGCTTGTAAGTTGAGTATATATGGGTGAAATCTAAAGCTTTGTTAGATAACAAGCTTTTTTGTTCTTTTTATGAAGTGAATTTAAGCTGCGTATTTAAAGTAATATTTTTGCCTGTGTGTGTGTTCAGATGCAGAAGGACGATCAGTGAGAGAGTTCTCTGTGGATGGTGTGTGTAACTATTCAACACTTCTGCTGAGCCCGGATGAAAACAAGATCTACGTGGGAGCCAGGGAGAACATATTCTCTCTCAGCCTGGATAACATCAGCGTGACGTATCGGCAGAAAACTGTAAGTGCAGGCGAGAATGTTTGTAGTAGTGTGTAGGAGTGCATTTTGATGTTACTCAGCATTGTTTTGTATCTTTTGCAGCTCACATGGAGCACTCCTGAAAGGAAGAGGAAAGAGTGTATTTTCAAGGGAAAGGACCCCCAGGTATGTGGGGATTGTTAATAGAAATGTGAAGCAATATATTAACAACAAACTAAAAAATAATCTGTCTCTTATGTGTTTCAGACTGATTGTTTCAACTACATCAAGATTTTACTGCGTCTGAACAGCACACACCTGTATGTGTGTGGAACGTATGCCTTCAGTCCCATCTGTGCTTACATTGTGAGACTTTTTTTTTCTCTTTATGATGTTCATATGGTTCTAAGAAACTTTTGTCATTTTGTCATGTTACTATCAAGTAAAAAATAATATAAAGGTAAAATCAAAACAAATGATCCAATATTGTATAAGACTTTTTGACCTTTACACACTGTCATGAAGGCCTGTAGATATTTTTTTATACAATTTATCATTTAGTTTTTTCCAATTTTTTGGTTAGAAGACATGACTTTTATTTTGCATTTTTCATCCAATTTTAATAAGCAGTTTTGTTATTGTTATTTTTTTTCTAAATAAGAATAGATAAAAAGATTGTGGTTGAGTAGATTGTCTAGATAAAATATGACAATCTACTTAATAATAAATTAATTAGATGTATTCAAGTCATTGTATATTTAAATTTTAAAAGATTATGTATTTTTGGTCAAAATACTATTATATCATTGACCCATTTGTGTAAATGCATCTGGTGTCATTTGTTCTAACTGTTCCTCCATGTTTTTCTGGAAATTCTGTAGAACATTTCAAGTTTCTCTCTGGAAAGAGATGAAAAGGGGGAACACGTTATGGAGGACGGACGTGGACGCTGTCCATTTAATCCAGAATACAGATCGACAGCTATTACAGTGGGTGAGTATACTCATGAAAAAACAATGCAATCATTTAGTTTGAACTTCATATATAAACATCATTAAGTTTGATGAAAATGGTGATTTAGTGTTAATAAGCACTTGTATGTTTTGCTGTGTTACAGATGGGGAACTGTACACTGCTACTGTCAGTAACTTCCAGGGAAATGAACCCACCATATATAGGAGTCTAGGGTCTGGCACCCCTCTCAAAACGGAGAACTCTCTCAACTGGCTCCAGGGTAAATATATACAAACACACACTCACACTTTCTCACAAGGGACTTCTTAGGAGATAAATATCCAAAAATAAATGCCAACATCGGTGATTACAGAACCCTGCTTTCTCACGCATGTTGAAAACAAATTATTGCTGACTGATACTGAGGTTAAATAAACAGTTATACAGTTTTATTTTCTGGAATATGTTTTTTTAAAGTGTTTTTATTTCTGTATGTGTGTGTGTTTGCTGCGGTCCGGTAGACCCAGCTTTTGTAGGTTCTGCTCATATTACAGGTTTAGACAGCGAGAGAAGTGATGATCAGATCTACTTTTTCTTCAGCGAAATGGGGAAAGAGTTCGACTTCTTTGATAACACCATAGTGTCCAGGATCGCACGTGTGTGTAAGGTAAGATGGATTGTTTAAGCAGTTCACACACTGTTGATAAATTCAGCATAAACCTGAGAAAGAACACGTACTGACACACACACACACACATACACAAATGCCAATATTTCCAATATCACTATGCACTTAGCATATTCTTATCTTCTAAAGATTCCTCAACTCATTCTGCTTTAGCTCTAAAGGTCAACATAAAAATCTAAATGTTTCCTGGTGTTATTCTGCAAAATCCATTAGTGCACATTACATTATAAAGTTTTAATAGTCTTTTATTAAAATGTAAAGATGCTCTGGCTCTGAAATAACTTTTTCTGTCGACTATTAGACAATGTTAACCAATAATTAAAAAGCTCTGTTTTAGAAAACTCATATTTAAACTAGCTTAATTTACTTTAGGACAGACTTTAGGTGACAAATAAACATGGAGATCTTTTTGCAGGTAGAATGGAGAAAGAGTACACATGGTTCATTTACATATAATACAGACATTGTAACAATTCAAAGCTGGTTGAAAATCTTCTAACCTGTCCTTTAATTTCAAGTCATTGAGTGTAACAGATGAAGCAGGATAAATGTAAAAAAAAAATTTTTTTAGTTAATTGTCATAACTCTGGACACTTGTAAAACCGGGGCATCTGGTCACCCTAGTTTCATGTTAACTTAAAAAGCTGATGAACAAGGTGAATCACAGGAGACTGTGAACTCTTCCCTAATAATGCTCATATGTGTGTTACTTTCCCTCCCACTGATGCTCCCTAAAACCCATGGGAGTACCATGATAATACCATGTTTTGTTTTAGACATGTACTATGGAATTACAATATTATTCTTTGAGATGCCCTGGAGAATTATATAAATACTATGGTATATGCATATAATAATAGTTTAGTACCATGTTATGACTATCTAATATTGTACTATGGTACCGCAGATACTCTGAAACCAGGGCTGGAGTTATGATGCCCCCTAGCGGGCTTTCTGAGTATTGTGAATTATTGAGACTATATGCTGGTTTGAAAGTGTTAATCATTTGTTTGTGTGTGTGTATGGCCTCAGGAGGATCAAGGTGGGGAGAGAGTCCTGCAGAAGAAATGGACCACATTTCTGAAAGCTCAACTCTTGTGTTCGCTACCGGACGATGGCTTTCCTTTCAACATCATACAGGATGTGTATGTGCTCCCAGCCCAACGCAAGAAAAACACACTCCTCTATGCAGTCTTCACTTCTCAGTGGTGAGCAAAAAATGTAGAGTGGCAAAGGAAGATAAGCTTGAAGGGAGAGGATGTTTTTCATTAATCATACTAGAAACTGAATGTAACATTGCTAATTTGTTGCTGTATGTTTTGTAGGAGTAAAGGTCTGGCAGGCAGTTCAGCAGTGTGTGTGTTCAGCATGGATCAGGTAGAAAAAGCGTTTAATGGCCGTTACAAAGAAGTGAACCGAGAGACACAGCAATGGTACACACACACTCACTCTGTACCTGAACCACGACCTGGAATGGTAAGATGGCACACACTCCTACATATACACTTTACCAGTTCTATGTAAGTGGAGGATATTTGAGTTTTCGTGAAGCTTTTTTTTGTCCTTTCTGCAGTGTATTACTAATGCTTCAAGGCAGCTGGGAATAGACTCATCCCTTGATATGCCAGATAAAGTACTAAACTTTGTGAAAGACCACTTCCTGATGGACAGTCCTGTCAAAAGTCGGCCTGTGCTCTTCACACACTCTGTGCACTACACACAAATTGCTGTGCACCATGTGCAAGGCCTCCATGAAGCTTACGATGTGATGTTCATTGGCACAGGTATGTGTTTTTTTTTTATTTGAGTGTCTGGGTTTCTGTGATTTCATTTATTTTCTAAATAGCTCTTGATGTTATGCTCTGTGATTTGTCAGATGATGGACGTTTGCAAAAGGCTGTGAATGTAGTCGGTATGATGCACATCATTGAGGAGATCCAACTGTTCCCAGAGCAACAACCTGTACAAAACATAGAGCTGGATTCAACTACGGTGTGTGTGTTTATGTGCTAACACTTTTCAATTTGTTATAATTAGCTAATGCATTAAATATCATGAACTAACAATGAACGATACTTTTACAGCATTTATTAAATTTGGTTAATTTTAATATCTACATACATATACTGATACATTTTTAACCTTTCAATTTCAAGAACACAAATTAACAGAAAGTGTTACTGTTTATACTTATGAAAGGGTGCATAAAAAGTAACTGTTGAACACAGTTATGCTGCTTTGTTTTTTGTAGAATCTTGTTTCAGAGTGTTTCCATGAATAGAAAGTTGAAAATAACAGCATTCATTTGAAATATAATTTTTTTTGTGACATTGTAAAATCTCAGTTTTAATCATTTTAATGCTTCCTTGCTGAATAAAATTATGAATTTATTTTTTGAAAAATATTGTATTGACCCCAAACTTTTGAATGGTAGTGAATTTGAACAAACATTTACACATTTTACTTGCCTTTGTGCTCCACAAAGCATTCATTTCACTCTCTTACTTTGAACCCTCTCTCTCAACAAACAGGGTTTGTTATTTGTGTCGTCACACTCTGGTATTGTGCAGCTGCCAGTAGCAAACTGCAGTTTCCATAACAACTGTGGCGAGTGTGTTTTGGCCAGAGACCCATACTGTGCCTGGACAGGCACACACTGTACTGACGTCACACGTATCCCACCACAAAAGTAAGCCTTCTTTCCTTCCCTTTTCCAGATCATCTGTTGAAGTAATCATTTTCTGTACCAATACCAATTTCTACCTTCTTTTGCATATTTCAGCCAATGGCAGCAGGATATCGAGAAGGCAGACAGTTTAAAATGTAACAGCAAAATGCTGAGTGTGTACTCTGAGAGCTCAGGTAAACCTACAAATCCCGACACATTCAAGCATCTATCATCCATCTGAATATCTCATAACACCCATCTCTCTTCCTCTCTTTCTAGTGTCACCACGTTCTTTCCCAAATTCCCAAGAATCTGATTGCGTGCTCATCATCGTCCCAGCTAATACTCTCCGCCTGCTGCCCTGCAATCTTCGCTCCAACCGTGCACAAAGGAAATGGTCATACAAGCCAGATGTAGGACGCTTCCTGTTCCCAAGCCCGGAGGGTGGGTTAGTAGTCAGCGGCCGTCCAGGCAGCGATGAGGTCTTCTCATGTTGGTCAGAAGAACATGGCTTCAGGCAGCTCTTGGCCAATTACTGTGTGAAGGCAGAGCCTTTATCCGAGACTGCAACCAATACGGGGCGGCTGGATGAACATCTTATAATCCAAAGCATATCGTCGGATGTCTTGTCCAGCGAATCAGTGCGCGCCGCTCAACTGCGCATAAAGACGTATGGCACAGAGCTGGCCGTAGTGTGTGTGCTGTTAGCTGTTTGTGTGCTTTCGTTCGGGCTGTCGGTAGCATATCGACACAGGGGCTGGATGAAGGAGGTACTGAGAGGAGGAGAGCAAACTGGAGGAGCCCAAAAGAGCACAGTCAGGCCTGGGGAGAGTTTACCCCTCAATGCTGGTGAGCTTCCAACCTCCCCATCCGACCACAAAAGCTACCAGACATTGGAGGATAACTGTGGTTACACAATCGCTCAATCAGAGACAAGCACGCAGAACAACTCCAAAGAAGCACAGACACTTGCCCAAACGCCACAGAATGGCTTTAAAGAGACTCATGTGGAAGTCAGTGACATTAGCCCTCGGCCACGAGTACGACTGGGCTCTGAGATCAGAGACTCTGTGGTGTAAAATACTGACGTTTCTGATGAATTTCCATAATTTACGCATAAACAGTCTAACACTCTTAATGCTCACTTGGTACATTCAATGGGCAGCTTTCTTGAAGACTAAGCGTACTGAGCCCTGAGCACAAGAGAATAGATGGGACATGCTCAGTGTGTGTATTGCCAAATTGTAGTTGTTTAAGACAATGCCCTCAAATCTACTCCCACATCTCTTTCACCCTTTCATGTTAAACGGTAAAATATGTGTTAATATGAGAGTGCGCTGATACATTAGAAATCAGAAACAACAATCCAAGGAAGGGTGGACCAGATGGATGAACAGGAGAGAAATGGGCAATGAGCCTTGTGTTGTAGGACTGGTACTGGTGCTATTATCACTGCCAAGACAGAGTAATGATGCCTAACTCAAGGTGAGAAGACTGTTCTATGTCTGTTTGTATTCCTTTGCTATTCTTTGTGCAAAGTTTCAATACATAAGTGTTTAATGGGGTACTTTAAATGTAAGATTTGACTATGAAACCCATAGCCCATACTCTGCAGATTCTCATTATACCAGCATTGAACACCAGGCAGTTCAGACCAGGTTGCTTGTTAGTGTTATAGAACTTGGTTACTTTCTTAACATTTTAGAAATCTGCTGTTATTTTTATTTATTCCCTTTTTTAATTTCCAATTTATTGTTTAATTTCTTAGTCCTTTTTGGGAAGTAGTCTCTTGGTGTTTATTCTGTTATTCAAATGTGTTCATGTTAGTAAAGTGCCTGGTGTTAAATAATGGTATGATGTGTATGGAACTATGAAATGTGGAGTAATAATGGAAAAAAAATTATATTTGCTTTTAGATAAAATGTTGCAAGCGTGTATGAGCATTAAGAAACTTTTTCTTAATACCCTTGAATGTACATCTGAAGAGTTATATGGGAATGTAAAGCACAAAAACTTGAGATTCTGTTTTGCCTCATAGTTTTGGTGGTTATTGTGTTTGGTACAGAATATAGATGGAATCTAAACAGGCAGAAACAAGGTAATGATACTGTACAATAATACAATATTATAATATTACAATATAAACGGTATGCTTGGCATTTTGGTAAAGAGTGAGATAATGGAGGAGTGGTTAATACAGTGGGAAAAGGCTGAAAATGTCTGTAAACTTGCAATCTGTTTAAGGGTAAAAAGGAAAAAAATGTAGAAGAACATTGCAGGCTATGTTCATTTATGGGTTATCCAGACTTCAAACACACCCATGCACTAACGTTGCTATTATAGACATCTGTTCCACTTGGAAAAGTCTTTTTAATCCACATTAACCATGACATGTTTGATGTTGTTTAATCATGTGTTACATTCCACTGTGTTTTCAGCTTGTGTGTTTTGAATGGAAAATGTAAAGTAGATTGCGTTTTTTTATACTTTGACACTGTTTTACTGTTGTTTTACATTGTACATTCACGCACTTTATTTTTTCTACCAGTATTTGTAAGCTGTAAATGAGGTAGGCCACTGTCAACATCCGGTTTAATATTGTAGCCAAGGTTTGTACATTAATGAAGAGATGAAAATAGGTCTGAAAGAGTGTCTCCACTGTCTGACACGCAAAATATTTTTTTTGCATAAACTCACCGACTGTCACAGTCCGAGTATGTAATTTCATAAGCACAGTTGAGAAGAGTCAAAAATGTTTATGATGAATGATTTCTCTTCTTGAAATAAGATGAATACATTCATGATACATAATTATTATACGTAGAGGTCCAAACTCTGACTAAAAAAATCTGACATTAAAAAAATTATTTAAACCTGGAAATAAACTTTTTTTCCATTCAAACAGTCAAAATAGTTGTGAATAGTATAATGTCATTCTTTTTTTTTTTATAAAAAAAATTGAAGCAGAATTCTAACTGCAGTTTTTATTTTTTTACATTTTACAAGAATTCATATGAATTCACAATCTGTGGAGTGGTTTTTACAGAGTTTTAGAATATGAAACATTTGTCTTAATATGAAAGGCAGTTAAGGAACATGTTGGTCATTTTGCTTTTACTGAATGCTAAGAGAAATATTCTGCTGTGATTGCATCTCTGACACCTCCGCCTGTTGGATGGTCCTGCGTGAAGGGGTCAATATCATCAGGTGGGAGTTGATATTCATTTGGCACCCGCTCCTTCCTTATAGTGGCTATGTTGTGGAGAATAGCACAGGCACCTACGATCTGAGATGCCCGCTCTGGTGATACTCTTAGGTCACGAAGACAGTTGAACCGTGCCTTTAAAATGGCAAAAGTCATGTCTATCTTGAGCCTGGTTTGACTGAGGGCTATGTTAAAGTCATTTTGTGGTTTTGTCTCGGGGTCAGGGTAGGGAGTCATCAAAAAGCTCTGACATGCGTAAGTTCTGTCTCCCACCAGCAGGCCATCAAACAGCCCTGTCAATGAACAGAAAAGAGAAAAGTGTCACAATGTCACAGTTAATTCAAGTGTTGTCTACAGTTCCCATTTGATCATACCTTCTTGAAAGCGCTGACATAACAACGACTTCTCGAAAATGTGGGTGTCCAGCATAGAGCCAGGCCATCTGGCATCCAGACTTGTGATCATACACTGATGGTCACAAGTCATCTGTAATTAACACACAGTAGGTGAGTCCCATGGGTTAGTGATACATTATCACGAAAATATAGGCATATTAGTCAAAAGAAATATACCTACCTGAACGTTGAGGCTATGAGTAGCGTTTCTATTAAGATAATCAGCCTCAATTTGTTTTGTTGGTGTAGAGATTGGAATGTGCGTGCAATCTATTGCTCCAATAATTCTAGGGAATCCTTTAAAAGATTTTTAAAAATCTGTTTGGCAACTTTTATCGATCATTACTGATGGTGTATTCGTGAATAAATCCATCTTACCAGCTATTTTAGAGAAGCCCTCTTTTATGGCCACGGTGGGTAAATGTCCAGGGAACACAATGAACGTGTTTATGTATCTCTGGAGTGCGATAACCACCCTACGAATAGTTCGGCAAACTGTGTTTTTGCTGAGCTTCTCGGCATCGCCCACCTCATACAAGTATGTGCCACTTGCGAAGAAACGCAACGCGATACAAATCATTTGCGGGACAGTGGTCGCGTGGCTTCGCCGCGTCGGGTTTTTAATATGGGCCTCAAGAAGCCGACAAAGATATAACATTCCCTCCGACGAAAACCTGTATCTCTCGTATAAGTGCTCATCAGAGAATGCCAGTGGGTTTTGTTTATCTCTTAGAACTCTTTCCCTGCGTAAAGCCCTTTGTACAATTTGGGCTCCGATGTCTACAGGATTCTCCAAATACGGTGAAGCCATTTTGCTGCTGCTACTACTACTACTACTGCTACTACTACTACGACGCATGCTGCTGCTGCTGCTTCTTCTTTTGATGTTTTATGGCGGTTGGCAAACCAGCTTTAGGTGCATATACCGCCACCTACTGGGATGGAGTGTGAGGCGCTGATATCAAGGAAAAAGCTGATTCTCAAAAAAAAAAAAAATTCTACCTATATTTTATTATATAAATTTGTTATTTTCAGAAAATTAATAAGAGCTTTATAACCTTTATGAGAACTGTTTACTGCTGCTACTACTACTACTACTGCTACTACTACTACGACGCATGCTGCTGCTGCTGCTTCTTCTTTTGATGTTTTATGGCGGTTGGCAAACCAGCTTTAGGTGCATATACCGCCACCTACTGGGATGGAGTGTGAGGCGCTGATATCAAGGAAAAAGCTGATTCTCAAAAAAAAAAAAAATTCTACCTATATTTTATTATATAAATTTGTTATTTTCAGAAAATTAATAAGAGCTTTATAACCTTTATGAGAACTGTTTAACACATTCTGTAATGTCATAGAATTAATGCCGTCAGATTTTAATTCCTCTTTTAACTGTATTCATTCCCTTTCATATGCCCTACAGTTAATCAGCACATGCTCTACAGTTTCTGGAAGTCCACAATGATTACATTGACCAGATTCATGTCTTCCTATCATCTGGAGTGATTTATTAAGAGTAGAGTGTCCAATTCTCAATCGAGATATAACTGTATCATCCCTTCTATTACCATAAGCAGTTCTTACTTGTCCTACTTGATTATTTATATTATACAAATGTCGCCCTTTGTTACCTTTATCCCATCTCTCTTGTCATATCTTTCTGACAGCTACTTTAATTAAACCTTTAATTTCAGATTTACTCAAGGTTATATGCATGTCAATATTTGTGTGCTTAAGAGCCTGTTTCACTATCTTGTCTACCTCCTCATTCCCTTCCACTCCAACATGAGCAGACACCCATACAAATTCTGCTAGAATTCTCAGTTGCCGTATTCGGTACAAACTTTGCAGTACTTCTAATAAAATATCTTCATGCTGCTTCTTCTTCTTCTTCTTTGACGTTTATACGGCGGTTGGCAAACCAGCTTTAGGTGCATATACCGCCACCCACTGGGATGGAGTGTGGAGCATTCTTCTGTCTTTTTATGGCGGTTGGTAAACAAACAAAAAGGTGCGTTCCCGCCACCTACTGAGCTGGAGTGTGATTCATTGATGGAACAAGAAGAAAGACTAAGCTGAGAGAGAGAGAAAAAAAACTAATAATAAATTGGCTTCTAAATCCTCTTAAACAGATGCACCTTTCTTAAATATTTCATTAATGCTTTATATACTCTATAACTTTCCAATCCATTATTCAGCAGTTTTTTTAAGTTTAATATTTCCTATACCCTTTTCTTTTAACTCTTCCACCAGAATTATCCTTTAATTTTAATAAGCACTGCAGTATATTCTTAATATAGTAATAAGTAAGTTCTTCAGTTTCTGCTAATCCACATAGACTGCAATTCCCAGACTCATGTTTGTTCATTCTATACAGGGAATAATTCAGATCTACTAATGGTAAAGAGAAGAGCCACGGTGACATGGGTGACACTACTACTGTCGGGCTCAGTTCTACATTTATGATCCCTCTCGATAGAGCTTCCTCTTCTGCAATCCATCCGAAACTATTAAGCCTGGCAGATTCATGTTCTCAACACTTTAACAACACTTTTTTAATTGGATGAGTATCATTATGGAAGTGAATGTAGTGGAAAGATTGCCTAGATGGAAATTTAAGTCAGCTGACTGGAATAAATTTAAGGCGGTAAGTGAGACATTGATGATGGAACTAGAAGAATCAGTAGAGGAGGTTGAAGAATTAAACAATAGAATAAGTGAGAGTCTATACCTGAACCTTGGAACATATATTGCTGCTGTGCGTCCTGTTTCAGGATCTTTAGATCCATCTGTATATATAAATGAGTTACTGATATATACTTCTGATCCAAATATTTATGTACTATTGTATCTTTAGATTCTTGTCTGTTTTTATCCTTTATACTTAGTGGAACCTGAAGATCAACTACAGGCATTGGGGATAACCATGGAGGTGTTACATGCAACACTACAGTATTGCATTCAGCATATTTACTTATTCCATTTTGATGAGCCTCACTATTTGCTTTCCATCCAAAACTATTTAGATTTACATATTCATGTTCCCAGCAATTTTCTAATACTCTTTTTACTGGGTGTATTTCTGAATGCCCTTTATAGTAGCCCAATACACCAGTTTCAGCTTCAACCCGCGAAGCTCCAGTGGCATCTCATCACATCTCAGGTATACAGCGACCCCTGGCGGTTCTGGTGTTAAGTTTCCAGCTAGGGTTTTCTTCACTTTCAACTTGTTCTAATTCTATTCCAATTTTACCGCGTATAGGGAAATGGTCGCTACCTACTGTACTTTCTTCCATAACATTCCATACACACATCCTTGCCATACTACGCATGCTATGAGAATGGATTTGGTCACGTACTTTGCTCACAGCTTATTGGTCCAATCGTGCCGTGGATCATGAACTATAGAGGCGTGTTGAACAACAGAACCCGTCCCAGAGCAGTAACGTTTGCTATCTTTCGTGAGACAGAATCTAAGTTGGGCTCGTTTTATTAAAGAAGCGGTAGTGTGTAAGCGATACTTTAGTGAACGAATCGTTTGAGAGTCGGATCTTTTTGTTGGTCTGAACCAAACCACGAATCAAACTGCTTCACTGAAACCAGATTTGACCGTTGCGGCCTAAGGTTCAAGTAATAGAACCAGTGAATAGAATAAATATTAAACCTGGCCTATGTAAAACAAATGACGCTTTTATCAATACGATGATTATTTTAAATACAATTTATATTACGTTTTATTTTCTGAATCATGCTGCTGCAAAACTGAACTTGGACATAATCAATTAAAATAATCACCTTTATTACTAAACTTATTGGGAACCATAATAAACGGGAACATGTGAACATATGGCTTTATCTTACTATTGTAATATGCTGTTAGTGGTTTTGCAAAACCTGCCCTCTAAAGACGTCACAGTAAATCTAAATAATCGTCAGAGGGATCGCGCGAGAAGGGTCATGTCTGGCTGCAGCCTCGCACTTGCACTCTCAGACTTACTCTCAGACTTGCACTCTCAGACTTACTCTCAGACTTGCACTCTCAGACTTACTCTCAGACTTGCACTCTCAGACTTACTCTCAGACTTGCACTCTCAGACTTACTCTTAGACTTGCACTCTCAGACTTACTCTTAGACTCTCAGACTTGCACTCTCAGACTTACTCTCAGACTTGCACTCTCAGACTTACTCTCAGACTTGCACTCTCAGACTTACTCTCAGACTTGCACTCTCAGACTTACTCTCAGACTTGCACTCTCAGACTTACTCTCAGACTTGCACTCTCAGACTTACTCTCAGACTTGCACTCTCAGACTTACTCTCAGACTTGCACTCTCAGACTTACTCTCAGACTTGCACTCTCAGACTTGCACTCTCAGACTTACTCTCACTCTCAGACTTGCACTCTCAGACTTACTCTCAGACTTGCACTCTCAGATTTACTCTCACTCTCAGACTTACTCTCACTCTCAGACTTACTCTCAGACACCTGCACTTGAGTGACGTCACTTGCAGTCTTTTTTATTTGATTTAATTAATTAATTTTTTTAAAAATTGAAATCTCTTAACATTTTACACAAGTAGTAAATCACGAGAAAAGGTTCTGGCTGCAGACTTGCACTTGCACTCTCAGACACTTGTGCTTCCGCAAATGACATCACTTGCAGTCTTTATTTTTTATTTTGTTCTATTTATTGATTACGTTATAGTACTACATTAGTTTTAATCGTTTAATCACCAGTGTCTTGTCTCCATTGGCAACACGCACGATTTGTGTCGATTGCAAGTGACCTCGCAGGTAGCGGAGAGTGCAAGTGGCGATTGCAAGTGACTTCGTAATTTAGTTTCTTTTTTCTTGTCTTCACCACCTGGCTACTTGTGTAAAATGTTGAGAAATTCAATAAAAATAAAAAAAATCAATAAAATAAAATAAAAAGATTGCAAGTGATGTCAATTGCGGAAGTGCAGGTGTCTGAGAGTGCAAGTCTGAAAATGCAAGTGCATGTCTGCAGCTAGACCCTATTGGATAGCGCCTCGAAATCTGATTAGTTAAAAATAGCATCCAGTGAATGGCCATGGCCAGATTCGTTTTTGCTGTATACAGCATGTACAAAGACAAGTGGCTTCAGGGAACCCATTTCAGAGAGATCTATCAAGCAATAAGTAGAAACATTTTCGATGTTTACAGCATACCCACACATTCCTGCTTCTGTGACATAGGCCTTGACAGTTTCTTCCTACCCACAGACCTACCTAACAGTGGTAAAATATGCACTTAAAGTCCAGGCCATGAATTTGTCACCAAACAGGAAAAACTATGGATATCATACATTATAGTCCATAATGTTAGCACCAACTTATAGTATACAATGAGGTTACTGACATTTCATATCAGTAGTAGAATAAAAAAAGCAAATAAAGGTGAGTAAAAATTTATTTATATACATGTAATGCCCTGAGAGTTCACCACTATATTTTAATATGGTTCATATTTATTTACTTCATACATCTTATTAAAAAGTGCACTGAATAATTTGAATACTGTCAATCACACTGTAACTGCCTTAGCAAGTATATGGTAAATGGGTTGTAGTTTGTAGAAATCAGTCCTCAAACCTTATCTGAACACAGCTTATTCTGAATAAAAAAAAAGCAAAGATATCAAAGTAAATGAAAAAATTGTGAATGGCTAAAAACACTGAATCATAATACACGCACGTTAATAGGGATAACAGTTTAATTGCTAGGTGTGAATTAAAATGTACATTTTATTAAGAAGGGCACTTCATACAAAAATACAAGATTACAATGCCAGTCCAGACATTTTTGAGACTCCCATTATTTGGGCTTGCTCTGATTATTTGAACATAAAAAACTCTCTCCTCCATAGCTGAACACAAATCATTATGTACTGTATAGTTGATATGCCCTTTCAAGCACATTATGGAGTTTGGGTTCAAACATTAAAGAATCAAAGTCTCCACATCTACACAATGACAGATAGTCTCTCTTGACAAAAGAAAAAAAATCAGGATGCCATGTCGGTCAATGCCCCATTCACTGGTTATTTGCCTTTAGGGTCCCCCTTCTCATTTGCCTTTTTTTGCTTCTGCTGCATGATTTCAGCATCTCTGAAGAACAAAAAATAAATAATATTCACATTCAGTATGATGCACTTCGCAATTCAATGCATATGTTAGTTGTTATCTTTATGTGTTGTACCTTTGCTTACGGGCAGATGCTGAGAGGCCATCCTCTTTTTTCTTCCCTTTGGTCTGATCATTTTGCTTTTTAGCATTCTTCTGACGGGCAAGTTCACGCTGATTTCCCCCTGCATGACGAGACATTGCAACACTCTTAATGGCTTAAAGGGGTCATATGATGCAATTTTCCCTTTCTCTTTGGAGTGTTACAAGCTCTTGGTGCATAAAGAAGATCTGTAAAGATGCAAAGACTAAAGTCTCAAATCCAAAGAGAAGTTCAGAGTCAGCTACACCTACCTAAAACGGCTCGTTCTAACACGCCCCCACATATCTACCTCACTATGTGGGAAGATTTGCATAACGCCGCCCAAATGTTCACGCAAAGAAAGAAGGTGTAACTTTTATTCTCGCTGTAGTATCGTTGACGCTGCGTGCTTCGTTGTGAAAGTGAAACTACTTTGTTTGGTCTTCCAAAAGAGGACGATATCCACTTCGTCATGCCTAGAGCTGATCCATGCTGGTCGCTGAGGGAATACATCAACTTTCACCGTGGACAAAGCAGAGTCCAGCCCGGGGTCCGTCACATGTGGTTGCCGCTCATTCGTCGCATCCGCCGGGCGCGCCGTTCTCGACTCCGCCGCCTCCGCTCACTCTATCCCAGCCTCAGCGCACGCTAAGCCGGGGCTTCCCCTCACGTTAGGCTGCTGTGTTTTTTGTTGTGAAAGCGAAACTACTTTGTTTGATCTTCCAAAAGAAGACACGACTACAAATCAGTGGTTAAGTTGTATTTACAACACTGTTCCAGAAGACTTCAACCCAAATATCCAGATGTGTGCAGCACATTTTATGGAGGACTGTTTCTTGATCCTGGTAGAGTTGGCAGTTCTGACTAGGGATGTCCCAATCCGATCACGTGATCGGAAATCGGGCCCGATCACGTGGTTTCAGACTCGATCGGAATCGGACGTTACCTCCCGATCAGGACTCGGATATATATGTATATATATTCTCATTATTTTTTAACACACCTATAGTTATGCGGTGGCACAGAGTTAGACCCTTTTGACTCCACACAGAAACAGCAACGCGTGCGGCATGACATCAGTTTGTTGCAGAGACGCTATTGGTTAAATGCCGGCAAAGTAGAACACGGAAGCAGCTTGAAGCGGAAAGCGCGAGTATGTCTGCGGTCTGGAGGTATTATAAAGTTGATGACAACAACATTGCCATAGCAAACTGTGAGATATGTAAACTTGGGATTGCAAGAGGTGGAAAGGAAAAGGCTACATTTAACACAACAAACCTGATACGGCACAAAAAAAACAAACCCCCGACACAATACAGCGAGTTTACCCAGGCAACCCAGCCGAAGACGAGTCAGCTCACGCTGCAGGAGAGTTTGAAGAGGAGAGAAAAAATGCCCCGTGACAGTGCGAAGGCGCAGGACATCACAGCCAAGATAGCACAAATGATCGCAATGAGTGACCTGCCATTCGCCTTTGTAGAGAACCCTGGATTTCTTATGCTTATGGAGCACGTAGAACCTCGATTTGAAATGCCGTCTGCACACTATTTCACAGAGAAAGCTCTGCCAGCCCTTTATAAGAAGATTTCTGACAAACTACTTGTCCTGTTATCAGATGTACCCCATGTTTCGTTCACCACAGACATCTGGAGTTCATCCGTAGCTCCCATGTCTCTACTAAGCCTTACCGCACAATGGATTGATTCAAGTTTTGTTTTACACCGTGCGACCCTACATGTCCAGGAATTTCGCGGATCGCACACCGCAGAGCGCATCCAGCAATCGATGGAAAAGATGCTAAACAACTGGGGAATTGGCAAGCAACGGGTCCACGTAATTTTGCGTGACAACGCGGCAAATATGAAGAAAGCTATGAGGGATATGGGGGTGCCGAGTGTAGGCTGTGTCGCCCATTCCTGTCAACTCTGTGTGCATGAGGGCCTGCTGTCTCAGCGCAGCGTGACCGAGACCCTGGCCAACGCAAGGAAGATTGTAGGCCATTTTAAACACTCCCCGTTGGCCTACTCTCGACTAGAAGACATACAGATGGACCTAAATATGGATATCAAGCGCCTACAGCAAGATGTACAGGTGAGATTCCTCTCGTAACATTCTTTAATGTATTTCTATTTTATTATTATTTCCCATACACTTGATTTAGTAAGCTACTAATACATTACGTGCTCTGCACCTAATTTGCACAAAAATAAAGTGAATCATGTTCTCTTATGTGCAGACACGATGGAACAGCAGCCTCTACATGAGAAGTATCGGATCGGGACTCGGTATCGGTAGATACTCAAAATCAAATGACTCAGACTCGAGGGCAAAAAAACCTGATCGGGACATCCCTAGTTCTGACTCACGTTTTCATTTAAAGGATTTGCCACTGATGATTCAAACGCGAGTTTTGGGCAGTGTAGAGTAGCACTTGTTGTTTGTCATTTCTCTGATCACAAATGCAGACATGGTTTTATGTTTACGCGGCGCGATGCAATGCAACACAACGCGTAAAAAGGCAGTATAAGTCATTATAATCAGTAATTATGTCCCCACTGGATGCAACAAATGCCTTGTTTATAATGGGTTTTAATGTTGTCTCGTCGCTCCGGCTGGACACGGCATCACAGTATGTGAGGGGCGTAACATTTCCGTCACACGCTTGAGGTATTCGGCCAATCACAACGCACTGGATAGCTGGCCAATCACAGCACACCTCGCTTTTCAGACCGATGAGCTTTGTAAAAATCAACACGTTTCAGAAAGGCGGGGCATAGAGGAGAAACAATAATGTACAGTATGTGGAAAATAATGTGTTTTTTAACCTTAAACTGCATAAACATTTCATTACACCAAATAATGTTCTTTTTAGCAGCATCATATGACCCCTTTAATCATACTTTACTGTCTTAAATTTTACAGATATTGCAGACAGGATGGAACAAGAATGAACAACATAACACTCGGTTTAAAATCTCCAGACTGCAACTGGCAAATCTATTCAGTATCAGGAAGTGCATTTTTAAAGTAAGGAACGTTGATGCTGTACTGTTTAATATGTAAACCCTAATCTGTGTACAGTATGATCAACACAGACATGTGTAGCAGTGAGGCGACGTGGCAATGAGGGCGCCAGAGAGCTTCATAACAATAACAACATCCGCACAAAACACTGACAAAAACTATCGACAGTATAACAAAATAAACAACTTCCTGATCTTCTGAAACATTTTGTCCACTCCTCAGAAAATAATTTCGCCCCGTGGAATTACTATTGAAGTATTATTGACAATATCATTTAAGTTTGCTAATGTGTAACGTCTGTCAACTTGTCACACATAAACTAACTTTTACACAACATCTAGAAAACGTTTTCCGTGCCGTAGTGTATATAATAAATAATTAATAATCACCAATGCCACCACAAACCAGCATTAGCCTTGTTTAGCGGGTTAATCTTGTGATTTCTTTTCGTGGACTCTAGACAGAAGAAGCTAGCTAGTTAGCCTTGTATCGTACCGCTCCTGTATTTGGCTAAATTTCTACTAAAGTACTTTCATTAATAATAGTAGAAGCTGAGATCATGTCAACAAAATGAATAAAACTCAATACTCACTCGTCATGATTGCTCTTTTGTTGTCGCCGGAGCGCAAAGCTCAACCAGGCGGTACCCCCTGTAACGTTACTTATGATGGCTGGCAGACCCGAGTCGATTCGGAAGCTTTACGACAACACTATATCGGAATACAGCAGCGCGTTTCCAGGTGAACGCACCTCGTGATCGTGAATGGACGTCATTACGTCATATGGAGGGATTTTAAGAGGAATGGAGAATGGAGATATTATTTGAATGTGATTTCGGTGTCTACTAATAAGAAAGCTATAAAGACTGTTAGAATTTGCTCTGCATTTAAGTAAAAAAAGAAAAGAAAAAGGAATCCTATGTAATATAATGGTCCTCTTTTATATTTATTTATTTATTTTTATCTTATTTATTTATTATTTACTCTGTTTTACTTTTGTTGTTGCCTTTTCAAATGTCGTTTGTAAAATGTCTGTTGGTATTTTGTATTTTGTTTTGTTCTGTAATAAAAAAAAACAGGTGTTTAGTACATTCTTATATTTACTTTTGTATATGCTTAATTAAAAAATATTTACATGCTTTTGCTGCAAATGTTCTAACATATTTATGCTTTTTTTTCCCAGCGATAAAAATGTGTTTAAATAGGAAATGGGGACTGATATGTTAGGGGAATGGGGCTATTGTATTCGCTTTATTTTCTGAGATATTTTACTGAAGCTCCGTATAGGCGACTAATATCATGCTCATTTCATTTGTAAATATATTTTTGTATTCCAGCTTCATTTGAATATTTTTGTATTCTGAGAATATTCTTTTTAAATGAAAATTGTACTTAATTTAAAAGTTCCATTCCTGGCGCGTGATATCACAGTGGAGCGAGAGCATGCACTAGACAGCAGATGAGGCCAGTGCGATGGATGGCGGTCCTTTCTTTGTTGTGAGAAACACTTGTTACAGCGTTCGAGAGCTTTGTTTTGCCATTCACACAGCCTCAATAACTAGACAATTTCACGAAAAGATTGCCCTTTCGTGCTTTGCCTTGTCTTGTCTCTCACGAGTAATCGACGATTTTAACAATGAAACACGGACACCAAACTTGACGTTTTATTGTAAGCTTTTCCTAAATCAGAAATTAACCAAATGTAATTTTACAAAAACTTGTTGAGAATGACAAAATGTAGAACTCCGATTGACAGTTTTTGCTTTGGGTCTTTTATTTTGTAATGCATGTGACCTATCTGGTGGGGTATTGTCGTCGCTTACTTCATTGCCATTGCTTATTTTGACACATGGCGGTATAAGTGAATTCCTGACGTCCAGTATGATGATCAGTCGTGAAGACTAGGGTGGACGTGCCGGTGTGAGATTGTACTGGTTTATTTTTCACGGATTTGATCATGTCGTCGGCGTGGACAGCGCGCCAAGGGGAAGTGGGTGATCTGAGCAGCAAGAGTAAAGATCAGCTCTTGGAGATACTGTCACGACAAGAAAAGTTACTGTCTAATAAGTAAGTGTTTTTTATGCTTTTCATTTATTTTTATTTAGTGTTTCCTGAATATATAATTCATGATGTGTATATATAGCTAAATTAGGATTTAAGATTTCTGACTAGATTATGCTGATTAAATATTCTGGATCTTTCCAAATCCTTTGGCGCCCTCACCTTCTTATTAGTCTATTAAATAACATAGATCAGTGCATCCTGTCAGTGTCACACAGTTGGGACAGTTTATAATTAAACGCAAAAAGACCCAATTCTATGTAATACAAATGAATGTGGTACCTTGTTGAAGTGATTAATCAATAGTGTGGAGCATGGACACTGTTATTTTCACGTTTATTACTGTGAAGCTGCTTTAAAACATTCTGTTGTGCTATGTATATAAATATGATTAAATGTGATTTGTACTGTTTATGATTTCTTCAGGAGATTTCTTCAGAGCCTTATAGATAAGGGAAAGAAGATTGCTGACTTTGTGGAGAAAGTACACATTGCACTTGGACATCTGGAGGAGGAGGAGAGAAAACAAGCAAGTTTAATCTCTGTCCGGACAGAGTTTCAGGTTAAATATCAGCATGCCCTTGCCAAGCGAAGCACAGATAAGCATTTAGAATCCAATTTGGACATGATTATCCCATCCCATGACAGAAACCAAGCCAATGTCAATATCGATGCAGCTAACATACAGGAAAATGGTGGTCTGATGGGCCAAGAGGAGTCTTTGACATCCCAGCCTGAGCCTGCTGAAACGCTACAAACAGCCGGTGGGAATGCAGCAGCTTCACTGATGAAAGACACAAAGCTTGTGGAAGTGTTTGGACGAGTAACTCTTGATGAAAGTAACAGTGGCTCCTACCAAGACACCATAAAAGCTCTGTCTCCTAGTAAGCCCTTTCAGGGTAATCAGCAACAGAAGAAACCACATTATATAGAAGTTCTGGAGAAGACAGAGAAAAGTGTGAATATGAGGAAGCCCAGATTCAAACCAAACCAGTGAGTAGAACTATGCTGCCATTGCATAGCTTTGTGTTTTCTTGGAAAATAAGCTGAAATATAATACATTAAAGGGACAGTTCACACAAAAATGACATTTTTGTTATTGTTAGATCATCAAAAAATGTCTTAAAAAGGCATTGTAAAATGAATCTGTATGAATCAAGTGGTTTAATCCAAGTCTTGTGAAGAGATTTTTATTTACATCTAAACAACAGGGTTTCCGTGGGTCCGTAAAAGTCTCAAATTTAGTTGCATTAAATTTAAGGCTATAAAAAACTTACCATAGACATTGCTCTATCCCGCTTATATGGTGTTAATTTTATTTTACATGTCTTAAAGGGGTCATATGGTGCGATTTCATTTTTTCCTTTCTCTTTGGAGTGTTACAAGCTCTTGGTGCATAAAGAAGATCTGTAAAGTTGCAAAGACTAAAGTCTCAAATCCAAAGAGTTATTCTTTATAAAAGTTAAGAGTCAGCCACGCCTACCTAAAACGATTAGTTCTAACACGCCCCCACATATCTTTCACCGTGGACGAAGCGGAGTCCAGCCCGGGGTCGTCACATGTGGTTGTCACAAGCCCTCCGGACGCTCCTTCGTCGAATCCGCCGGCCGAATCCGAATCAAGCCCGCCGCCGCCGCTCACTCAAGGCCGCTGTGTGTGACGCTGTGTTTCGTTGTGAAAGCGAAACTACTTTGTTTGGCAACATCATATGACCCCTTTAAAAAGTCTTAGATTTGATTTTTCAAGTCCTGCAGATACCCTGAAACAATGATTGATACACATTGAGCACGTTACATGCAGGTATGATAAACATGGAAGCTCAAACGTGCATGCATGATGCACAAGAATCAGTGAGGTTTGTTCTACCTTTCATATCAAGTGATTATATTTCTTCACGCGCTTAAAACGTTTTATTTATATGGATTCAATTTACCTTTTTGGATCTGGTAAGCTCTGGTTACCTGGACTGGGTCAGAAACCTCTCAGGCTTCGTTAATATGTGTTTTGAATATGACCCAAAGTCTTTTGGGTTTGGAAAATGTTAAGTAAATACATTAACTTTGTTTAAAAGTGTCTGTGTTTTATTTAGGTTAGCTGTAAAATCCGAGTCTTCATCACCTAGTCAGGCCTCTGGCAGCACCACACCACTTACTGCAGAGGCCAGAAGACAACGAGACCGAAAACACCTGGATGACATCACTGCGGCCCAGCTTCCACCCCTGCACCACAGTCCTGCTCAGCTGCTGTCATTAGAGGAGTCGGCTGACCTTCTGCAAGAGCAGACCAGAAAACACCTGGTAGGTTGAAGACGTCTTGCTGAAAGCAGACTGATAGAAACTGAGATTTGAATGATCAAAGTGATATACATAAATTACATTTCAAAGCATCTGAGGCCTCAAAAACGTTCTATCCCACAAAATCTTCAACTATTTTGATATGTTGAGAGGAAGTAGTACTACTTGAATACACCCAGCAGAGAGGATAAGACCTGTGCATGTTTGCCACTTGTGTGTGGGTGTTTCTGCCTCGTTCTGTATTCAGGAAGTAGTACTTTTATGTTATTGTGTATACTGTTCATTTCAGGAGTTGCAGGCCAAACAAGTTGCCCAGAAGCTGGCAGATGGTCTGAGTTTCAAGATGGAGAGTTACAACCCAGAAGGAGGCCCACTGGCAGCCTACAGAGAGGTGCATGATGATGGGGCCCAGCTTTCCTCAGAGGAGGACTGATCGTGGGGCCCTACAGAGGCCCCTGGCTTGTTGATATGTTTGGCCCCTTGCCCTGAACCAACTCTAGGCCTAGAGCCCATGCTTCAGTACCCTGGAGAGAGGCTTTCAGCCTGAGGACAAGAGAAGGGCTCTTCATGAACTGCGCTGACAATGTCTTTGATTCTGCCATTGAAGATAAATAACAGCAGGTTGAATCAAGTTAAGAGTTATTATGTGAAAACCGACCGTTTTTGCGTGTGAAAATGTTACTGTCCAACAGTAACAGATTATCTTGGCAAGCTTAATGCCAAAAAACCTGATACCTTGGCAGGTCCACACCTGTTGTCTTGTATAGAATAATATAATTCAAAGCTCTTATCAGCCATAACTTTAAGGGTGTATATCATGTGTTATTCTGAAGATGGTAATAGTATATTTTTGTATGACCTTTCTTAGTGTTTATTTAAAAAACCCTCTGAAGCTTGTGGTTGGTTCTTTGAATCAGATAACAGAAACCACAGTTTTATAAACTAAATGTGGAAGCACTTAATGTTTTGTCACTTGAGTGCAGCAGCCCGGGAAATGTCTGTCTCCCTCCCTTTCCACAGCATTGTTTTGATAAGCGCCCCACTGGTTTGATTGGAATGAGTCAGCTGTCCTTTGAAGGGAGGGATGTTGTTATCAGTGCAGAAATCTGTGACATGCCTCAGATGATTAATATATGTAATGTGAAATATCAAGGCTTGAAGGAATTAGACCAATTGGTGGAGTACATCTGGATTTTATTTAGATCATGTTACTGCATGAAGTGGCAATGCATTCTGGGATGGCAACAGATAGACAGACATGACGCATGCAATTTCCAAAGCCATGGGCGCTAATAAAAATTCTTAAAATTCACTCTCTTTTTTAACCTCTCAGGATGTAAACAACGTAC